CCCTGAAAGCTCCCTCAGCAGCAGATGGAGCTGCCCCTCGGGCAGGGTGTCGACATCCTCTCGCAGCTCTCACATCCTCTGGGTGCTGCCACCCTTCCTGACCCTCCCCCTGCCCCCAGGCAGGACCTGTGAGGAGGAGGGAAGTGGAAAGGGTGGGGGGAGATGCTGCAGCTCCACGCTCAGGACGGGGGAGGGGGGTCCCTTCAGATGACCAACGAGTAAACGCTCTTCTCATCCACCTCCTGGGCCCCCAACGCGCTGCTGACCATCTTCTCGTCGTCTGTCTGCGAGGGCAGAGGGACACAGGCTTGGATCAGGCTCGTGGGAGCTCATCCCTCCCCTTGCTTTGAGGTTCTGGACCCTGAGTGTTCCCACATTCCAAGGTTTCCCTGTCCCACCCTGGGCTCTTCCCCAGCTCCAGAAATCCCAACTCACCTGGGCTGGAGCCTTGAGGGTGGAGTAGATGGTCCTGGAGGTCTCTCCCCCCTTTGGGTTTTCTCTTGTTGCGTTAGAGGCGCCCTGGGGGGGAAAAAAGGAGATTTTTAAGAGGTTTTTAAGAGGTTTGAGACCCCAAAAAGCCAGAGATCCCTCGCTGATCCAACCCTGGAAGTGCTGGCCCATCCCTGCGAGTGTCCAAGGCCAGGTTGCTGCTTTTATATCATTTCTTTAATACAGTGCATTATTCTATTTTATGCTATTTATACCATTATACTATATTTATGTCGTTATTTTTACATTTATATGATATTTATACTATATTACACTTTTATACTGTATTAGACTATTTATACTATTTATATTATTTAATACTATTTTATACTATTTATACTGTATTATACTACTATATTATTTATACTATTTATATTATTTATATTACTTATTTATACTATTTATACTACATTATACTATTATACTATTTATGCTATATATACATTTTATACTATATATAAATATATGTATATTTATAAAACATATATATTTATATATCATATACAGGGGGTTGTTTAGGGAGTCAGGGGGTTGTTTAAGGAGTCAGG